GGCGTTATGGCCTTGTTTAGCCTCGTTACGTAACGGTTAAACCCTCACCCCCTCGGCAAGTTGCAGCTTAACTGAGTTGCAATTGAGTTGCAATTTAGTTTCAACTGCAGTTTGGTGGGGGGGGGGTGCGATTTAATTTAACAGTTAAATATTTTCCGTCTAATTTTGGTTTGCATCATTTCACGTTTGTCTCATCTGCATAGTTTTGTTCGTTCCATTACCCTCAATAAAACATGTTTTACCTTAAATTTTAAAACAACCTCATTGCACGCACGGTCAAGGATATGCACACGTATCACGAGTGTAAGGTTGCATTTTTACCTGTGATTGCATTATTACGTGCCTTACGTTTGATAATTCTGATATACTCGAGCAAGTTGTGATAGCCTGAGATCTCTTATTTCCTACCACATCCTGTGTTTTTGACCCTGCTGACGAAGTCAAATATGGAATGGGGTAACATTGGTCCCTGGCAATCGTAACGATCGGTTAATGTGAAATCGCACTTCGGCCAAAAATGTATTTCGCAAAGTTTAGGAGTCCAGCCCAATTCAACCGTAATCGACGCCTCTTATCAATCGGACTTAATGTCGCACACAAATTACTGAGAGCTACTGGCTCGTCGCCGCAGAGTCAAAATTCAGGACTCTATATATTTGGTCACGGCCTCAAAGATGAGGTCTCATTTGAAAATAACGTTGTTGGACAACCTAAAGTGGGCATGGCTGGATTTTTCCCCACCGGCCAATCAAACGCGAGCACACGAGTGGGCGCGGCAGCACCCATGCCACCCTTTGAGTGCACTTTGCGAAAACGCACCCACAGTTGACTCGGCCATCGAAGCGCGCGTTTACCAGGGCTCACGGTTCGGCCCCGATTACTGAGATGACGCCAGATCATGTCAATGCGATAAGGCAATGTGGTCATCAGTCGGATGTGGTCATTCATTCTGCCCTGCAATCCCCTCTCACCTGCCCAACGCACTCCCCTCGCCCAAACCTAAAAGCGGATCACCTGCCCCGAAACAGACGGAATCATGTCGCCCATTTAAGCCTGGAACCTCGCCGATGCAATGAGTTGCACGCAATTGAATCCCTTGAATGCGCACGTCCCTGCAACCGGTTGCCCGCTCGCAATCGAGACGAGCTTCGATGCACTCGGCGGTTTCGCAGCGACGCGTTCGTTACGCAATCCTCGGAAGAGCGCCGGTGCGATTTCCGTGCTGCAGCTGCCGCTGCTCAACCGCCCGGTCAGACGCGGACAAAGCAGTCGTGCGGCAACCGATGTTATAGTTGCGCGGCGAATCCGAGAAGGGTTCGCGCGACCGACGGCTCAACTCGGGGCGCGCGTGTGTGCGTGGCGTGTGTCTGTGAGCGGCGCTGCCTTGGGATTTGAAATCGTGGGGGGGGGGGGGTTGGTGAAGGGAGGTTTGAAATGTTTTCGGTTCGAGATGGAACCCTCTTGAAGAGACGCACGCCTGCCAGCGACACGATTAATATCATACACAACAGCAGCGGTGGCCCGGCGGTGGTCGCGACGGCCGACACACACGAATAATATTCACCGTTGTTGTTATTCATAATAATAATATCATTATTATTGGTATGTACTGTGTTTATGTATAAGCTATACCTGAAGCTACCCATCCTGTAATGACACAATTAGAGGGAGGGATGGCGGGGCGGGCAGCAGAGATCAAATTAACGGTGACATCGACAATTACGACAGCGACAACCGAACAACGGAACGTTACAAACGGTGCACGCGCACACACACAGACGTCCGTCCCACCGACGTTTCACAAACGCGTGTGCGTGCGTGTCTACGTATGTGCGTGCGCAATGAGTGTTTTGACTTTTACCAACAACGGAGACTAAGATCCCGTGCCCGCCTTTGTTGGGCAAGTGCCGTTAGCGAGCGCCTATTAAGGCCGGAACAACGCGCGAGCAAAGGGTGGGTGTGGCCATCACCGTGAACCGGCCGGCTTTGTCTCCCCCGGGCGCCGATGTTTTTACACACCTCACCAGGTACGCAATTTGACGACGAGTCGACTACGGGAGAAGGTCCCAGGACTGGGTTCAGATAATAATCGCCGTCCGATTTTTTGGCCATCGATGGGAAACGGAACTCGGGTCACCGGGTTCGGAGCGCAGCGCCACGAACCGCTGCCTTGTCGTTGTTGACGCGCACAAAGACAAAAGAAAAATCCCCCCCCCTGGAGACTTTAACAGACTTTCTCTGGGCAAGCGCTGTTAGCCAGCAGCACCTATGAAGGCCGGCACGGCGCACGAGGGGATGGGCGGCCAGCACCAACGCGCGGCCGCCTCTTGTCTCCCGAGTGGCGATGTTTTTACCCACCGCAGCAGGTACTAATTTTAGGCCGAGCCGACCCAGGGGAGGCCCAGAACCGGTTACGCACACGCATACGCCTACACACATACATACACACACACGCTCACTACGTGTTAAATACCATTAACAGCTATCCATATATGTACAGAGGGCAGTATTTGGAGGGGGGCGGGGGGGGGGGGGTGGTCACAGGTGGCGCTGTTTGGGTCATCATCGTTAACAATCCCAGTAAACGGGCAACTTTAGCCCGACGTCGCACGTGTTACTGGGATGTCGCTCACCGCCGGTGTGAACGAACGGGCGTTCTGCCGCCGCGATAATCTTCTGGGTCATCATCGTTAACAATCCCAGTAAACGGGCAACTTTAGCCCGACGTCGCACGTGTTACTGGGATGTCGCTCACCGCCGGTGTGAACGAACGGGCGTTCTGCCGCCGCGATAATCTTCTGGGTCATCATCGTTAACAATCCCAGTAAACGGGCAACTTTAGCCCGACGTCGCACGTGTTACTGGGATGTCGCTCACCGCCGGTGTGAACGAACGGGCGTTCTGCCGCCGCGATAATCTTCTGGGTCATCATCGTTAACAATCCCAGTAAACGGGCAACTTTAGCCCGACGTCGCACGTGTTACTGGGATGTCGCTCACCGCCGGTGTGAACGAACGGGCGTTCTGCCGCCGCGATAATCTTCTCTCGCGTCCGTGCGCGAGCAGCTGCCCTCGTCCCGAGTCGAGAGACGGTACCGATCGCTGTGAACGCGTCGCTGTTCGCTCCGATTGGCACGGGTTGGCTACGTACGGTGCGAAAGAAGTTCAACATACGCACGTCACGTAGCTCTGTAGCAGGCGTGTACCGGTTCGACTTCCTGGGGCGATTCGATGAATTGTCGCAAATCGCAAGGGCCGGAATTCGATTGAAGAATTTATTTTTTTAGTTATTTTTACTCAACGCATTAATCGATAACACTGTCGCTTTCATCTATACAGTAGACTCTCGATTGTCCGTGTGCGGTTCATCCGATTTGCGGATTAACTGTGCACCTGAGATTTTGAAATAAATTAATAACCCATGGACTTTCCCTTAAGCCCAGATTAATAATCTAAAAACAGTTCATACAACATTGTTATTCTTGGAAATGTTTTTCACAAGTCACGTGCTGAAACCCAACAAATATTGACTTAAAGCTTTCGTGACTGCAGGAATTCACATTCTTTAGGTCTTTCGGTAAAGTCACGTTGATAGGTTCAAAGAAAATAACAAAAGAATACGTTTCGATCGCACCACACCGAAACGAAACGTCGTATTTTTTTGTTGTTATTTTCTTTGAACCTATCAACGTGACTTTTACCGAAAGACCCAAAGAACACCGAACGAATATGTTGCTCCGGTGAATCCCGAAACCCACGTGATCGCCTCTCCAGTACAGCAGTCGCATATTTTACCAAGTACATTTTCTTAAATCGAACGAAATCTATACCTATATCAGTGGTTTTTGGCATCGAGATCCGCGGAAGATGTTTTTATTTTTGGATTATCCGCGATGTTTAAATTATCCGCGCGGTCGTACTACCCGTCATGAGTGCCGACAATCGAAGAGTCTAACCGTAGATATAAAATCGGCAACGTTTTCGGTAACGGCGCGTTCTCCGTCACGCGTGAAAAGAAGGCCCATCGCCCGCAATATCGTCTCCAATATGTCTCTCCTTTCGAGGCCACACGCAAGAAGTGTTCTAACGACACGGAACGCGTCGTTAGAACTGTGCTCGTGCACAACGGCCAACGAAGCAGCAGCAGCAAATAATTGGTTGACAGCGGTGCAACCGAGGGGCAGAGCCGGGGGGGGGGGGGTGACAGGGGGGGTGACATTCTGCGTGTAAGTGTATGACACTCGGTCTGGCGGACTCCGTGCAACTGCGTTGTCAGAGCGTGTCGCCAACCGATGGGAGTCTCGTTCAACAGCCTGACTCTCTAAATCATTCTTGATATTAAAATTTGTTGAATGTAACCCCGGGCTGAAAATCCTGGCTCCGCCCCTGGGCGGACCGATCGATCGTCCGTCCGTCTGGCGGACGGTCTGGTAGGCTGCGGTACGAATGATGGAAACGTCACTTTATTTAACCCCGGGGATAGACCCTGTTGAGATTCGGCACCGCCAGGCGACCTCATCTCTCTGCGTCGTTGGTAGCCTCTCGTCCCGGTTCCCCCGTCTCGCCGTCTGCTTTGTCTCCTCGTTCGTCATTCTCCCATCGTCGTCGGGATCGTCGTCATCGTCGTGATCGTCATCGCGCTGCCACGGAACTTTGTCGCCACCAACCGACCCCCTCCCCTCCCCCCCCGTGCCCTCCCCCCCCCCAAATCTCGCCAACGCTAAAGTTACATTAACGCCCCCCACCCCCCCAACTCGCCCACCCACCCAACCACAACCAACCCCACCCCCCACCCCCCCCACCCCAACAAATAATTACAAATTAAATTAAAATAAATAACACGCGCGTACACAAAACGGAGCGGCGTGAGGCGTTGGACGGACGTGTCGTGGGTCGTCTTTAGAGCGCGCCGCTCGTTAACGTTAACGGGGGGGGGGGGGGGCAGAGGGGGGGGGGGTCGCCGTACTGACTCGCTAAGGCGTGCGACGCTGGCGGTTAAACGAGGCGGGGGGGGGGGGGGGGGCGGTCGCCCGTAAAGAGGTGACCGCGACACTCACCTCGTCGACCTCCTCCTCCTCCTCGCCGTTACCACGTTGCGTTATTGGTATATCCAGCGAAGCGCAGTGTTGGTCGATCGCTCTTAAAATATATATATATTTTGACGGTGACGGTGGTGGGGGAGGGGGGTGGTGGCGGGTAAGTACGGGTAGGCGAGAGGGGCGAGTGGGTAGACGGGTGAGTGTGTGGGTAGACGCGTGGAGGGGTGAGTTGGGTTGTGGCCAGGGTCTGGTCGGATATGTTCGTTTCCTGCAGAGATAACGGAGAGATACAGATCGGGATTAATCGTGCGGCTGTGTCTTCATCATGTGTAGGGTCTGATGTGGCCTCGTAGTGGTTGGTTGTAGGGGCAGCGTGGGCACCACGGTGGCTAGGAGATGTTAACTCCCTCGCCTGGTATACAGGAGTCCGTGGGTTCGATCTCAACCCTGATGCCTGCTGCTGTATATTTGGAGTTTGTGCGTCTCTCTCTCTCATCATCATCACGGTGGCTAGGAGATGTTAACTACCTCGCCTGGTATACAGGAATCCGTGGGTTCGATCTCAACCCTGATGCCTGCTTCTGTATATTTGGAGTTTGCGTGTCTCTCTCTCTCTCATCATCATCACGGTGGCTAGGAGATGTTAGCTACCTCGCTAGGTATACAGGAGTCCGTGGGTTCGATCCCAACCCTGATGCCTGTTGCTGTATATTTGGAGTTTGCGTGTCTCTCTCTCTCATCATCATCACGGTGGCTAGGAGATGTTAACTACCTCGCCTGGTGCACAGGAGGTCGTGGGTTCGATCTCAACCCTGATGCCTGCTGCTGTATATTTGGAGTTTGCGTGTCTCTCTCTCTCTCATCATAATCACGGTGGCTAGATGTTAACTACCTCGCCCGGTATACAGGAGGTCGTGGCTTCGATCCCGACCCTGACGCCTGCTGCTGTATATTTGGAGTTTGCGGTGTCTCTCTCCCCATAGTCGCGTGGATTTTTCTCCGGGTCCTCCTCTTTATTCCCTCCACGTTTAGAACCAACGTCACGTGTTTCGGGGTCTTGGTTGCTATAAATGTCCACGTGACGAGCCGCTTGGTTAGGCTATTGTTTGTGACGGCCAGGTCGCTTCTGAAAAAGAGCTACACAGCAGCTCAGTGGGGCCTTAACAGTTCAGTTTATACGGTCGGCAGTCGGGCAGTGCAGCTGGAACACTCCTGCCTCACAGCAAGAAGCACCCGGGTTCGATTCCCGACTCGGACGCGTTTCTGTGCTGGAGTTGGCACGTTATCTCCCCCTGCTCTGCAGGGGTTTCCCTTTCGGGTCCTCCAGTTTCCTCGCATAGCTAAAACAAGCCCCGCACAATGCAACTGGGTATTGGCCACACGTCCTCCTGGTGAAAAAATAACCTTCAAATGTATTCAGTGGGATCACACGCAGCAGCAGGAGCAGGCACAGCACGGGCAGCAACATCGCCCCTATTGTGAAAACTTGGCGGGACCCTCCCTAGAACGAGTCTTGGGTAAACAGGCGCCGTGAAATATACTAAAGTAAATGCCAGCAACAGTCACCGTTGCACGTTGTGAATGACTTCCCCTTGAAATACACCTGGGTCTGTCTTCCCGTTGGTGGGACGACATCGCCACCCGCCTGGGCGCTTGGGTCTGAGACATCACCGCGCCACCATTCAACAAGTTGGGCCTGTGAGGTTGGGCCGTGTACAGCAAAGTCCTCATTTGACGCGCCAGTAGCAGATGCGTTCCAGCGAAAAATGCGTTAAGCGAAAATAATTTCCCCCTAAATAATGTAGTAATGATAAAGTTTGGCGAGGCGCTATGTACTACTACGCACACTGAGGGCACGCCGCCACATTACTGCATCATTACGCGTTACTGTATCACTGCACCGCTCAGCTGCGTGGCTCAAGAAAGTGGTTTGTCGTCGACGGCTCAGAAAGCACGTCATTACGGTGCGCATTCCACTTCATAACGGAGCGTGGTCGGCGTTATAACGGAGCACGCGTTGCACATTATAACGGTGCATATTCCGTGTTATAACGGTGTGTGCTCCGCTGTATAACGGTGTGTGCTCCGCTACATAACGGTGTGTGCTCCGCTACATAACGGTGTGTGATAGATCTCCTGTAGGCGCTAGGTTTCCTGTAAGTTCTAGGTCTCCTGTGGGCGCTAGGTCTCCTGTAGGTGCTAGGTCTCCTGTAGGTGCTAGGTCTCCTGTAGGCTCTAAGTCTCCTGTAGGTGCTAGGTCTCCTGTAGGTGCTAGGTCTCCTGTAGGCTCTAAGTCTCCTGTAGGCGCTAGGTCTCCTGTAGGTGCTAGGTCTCCTGTAGGCTCTAAGTCTCCTGTAGGTGCTAGGTCTCCTGTAGGTGCTAGGTCTCCTGTAGACGCTAGGTCTCCTGTAGGTTCTAGGTCTCCTGTAGGTTCTAAGTCTCCTGTAGGCGCTAGGTTTCCTGTAGGTTCTAGGTCTCCTGTGGGCGCTAGGTCTCCTGTAGGTGCTAGGTCTCCTGTAGGCTCTAGGTCTCCTGTAGGTGCTAGGTCTCCTGTAGGTGCTAGGTCTCCTGTAAGCGTTAGGTCTCCTGTAGGCTCTAGGTCTCCTGTAGACGCTAGGTCTCCTGTAGGTTCTAGGTCTCCTGTAGACGCTAGGTCTCCTGTAGGTTCTAGGTCTCCTGTAGGTTCTAGGTCTCCTGTAGGCGCTAAGTCTCCTGTAGGTTCTAGGTCTCCTGTAGGCGCTAGGTCTCCTGTAGGTTCTAGGTCTCCTGTAGGTTCTAGGTCTCCTGTAGGCGCTAAGTCTCCTGTAGGCGCTAGGTCTCCTGTAGGCGCTAGGTCTCCTGTAGGCGCTAGGTCTCCTGTAGGTGCTAGGTCTCCTGTAGGTTCTAGGTCTCCTGTAGGTGCTAGGTCTCCTGTAGGTGCTAGGTCTCCTGTAGGCACTAGGTGTCCTCTAGGCTCTAGGTCTCCTGTAGGCTCTAGGTCTCCTGTAGGTGCTAGGTCTCCTGTAGGTTCTAGGTCTCCTGTAGGTGCTAGGTCTCCTATAGGTGCTAGGTCTCCTGTAGGTGCTAGGTCTCCTGTAGGCACTAGGTGTCCTCTAGGCACTAGGTCTCCTGTAGGCTCTAGGTCTCCTGTAGGCGCTAGGTCTCCTGTTGGTGCTAGGTCTCCTGTAGGTGCTAGGTCTCCTGTAGGCTCTAGGCCTCCTGTAGGCGCTAGGTCTCCTGTAGGTTCTAGGTCTCCTGTAGGCGCTAGGTCTCCTGTAGGCGCTAGGTCTCCTGTAGGCTCTATGTCTCCTGTAGGCTCTAGGTCTCCTGTAGGTTCTAGGTCTCCTGTAGGCTCTAGGTCTCCTGTAGGCTCTAGGTCTCCTGTAGGCTCTAGGTCTCCTGTAGGTCCTAGGCCTCCTGTAGGCGCTAGGTCTCCTGTAGGCTCTAGGTCTCCTGTAGGTGCTAGGTCTCCTGTAGGTGCTAGGTCTCCTGTAGGCACTAGGTGTCCTCTAGGCTCTAGGTCTCCTGTAGGCTCTAGGTCTCCTGTAGGTGCTAGGTCTCCTGTAGGTTCTAGGTCTCCTGTAGGTGCTAGGTCTCCTGTAGGTGCTAGGTCTCCTGTAGGTGCTAGGTCTCCTGTAGGCACTAGGTGTCCTCTAGGCACTAGGTCTCCTGTAGGCTCTAGGTCTCCTGTAGGCGCTAGGTCTCCTGTTGGTGCTAGGTCTCCTGTAGGTGCTAGGTCTCCTGTAGGCTCTAGGCCTCCTGTAGGCGCTAGGTCTCCTGTAGGTTCTAGGTCTCCTGTAGGCGCTAGGTCTCCTGTAGGCGCTAGGTCTCCTGTAGGCTCTATGTCTCCTGTAGGCTCTAGGTCTCCTGTAGGTTCTAGGTCTCCTGTAGGCTCTAGGTCTCCTGTAGGCTCTAGGTCTCCTGTAGGCTCTAGGTCTCCTGTAGGTCCTAGGCCTCCTGTAGGCGCTAGGTCTCCTGTAGGCTCTAGGTCTCCTGTAGGCGCTAGGTCTCCTGTAGGTTCTAGGTCTCCTGTAGGCGCTAGGTCTCCTGTAGGTGCTAGGTCTCCTGTAGGTGCTAGGTCTCCTGTAGGCTCTAGGCCTCCTGTAGGCGCTAGGTCTCCTGTAGGCTCTAGGTTTCCTGTAGGCGCTAGGTCTCCTGTAGGCTCTAGGCCTCCTGTAGGCGCTAGGTCTCCTGTAGGCTCTAGGTCTCCTGTAGGCGCTAGGTCTCCTGTAGGTGCTAGGTCTCCTGTAGGCACTAGGTGTCCTCTAGGCTCTAGGTCTCCTGTAGGCTCTAGGTCTCCTGTAGGCGCTAGGTCTCCTGTAGATTCTAGGTCTCCTGTAGGCGCGTCTGCCCGCCGCCTCAGTCGACAACCACGACACCCGGGCCTGTCCCCGTCCCCTCTCGCCAGCAAGGAGTCTTCCAGCGCTTCCCTCGCCCGGCTCACGGTGCACCCACCCAGCGCGGCCAGCTGGTCGCTCACTTGCCGCCTGTCACCTGCGACCAGCGCGGTTGGCTACGTACGGAGCGAAAGAAGTTCAGCGTGCGTGCGTGCGTACGTGCGTACGTGCTCAGATGGCGGCAGCCTCCTGTTGGCACAGCAGCAGCTTGGACGGGTCCTCCGCTTCGTAGCCACAGTGGCTGCTGCCATTGCTGGAACGCACACACACGCACACACACACACGCACACACGCACACACGCACGCACACACACACAGACGCACACACGCACGCACACACACACGCACACACGCACACACACACACACGCACACACACACACACACACGCACACACACACGCACACACGCACACACGCACGCACACACACACACGCGCACGCACGCACACATGCACACACACACACATGCATGCGCGCATACACACGCACACACACACACACACACGCATACATAGATAGAGACAAAGATCCCTGGTGTAGCCCGAACAGACTGTTGGGGCAAGTGCAGTTCGCGAGTGCCTATTAAGGCCGGCACGGCACATCAGGGGGTGCGTGGCCAGCACCACGCCCGGCCGGCTTTGTCTTCCCCGTGGCGATGTGGGTGGGGGGGTAGGGGGGTGGGGGGTGGTGTGGGTAGGGGGGTGGGGTGTGGGACGGTAGGGGGGGTAGGGGGGGTAGGGGAGGGTGGGGGGGGTAGGGGAGGGTGGGGGGGGGGCTCACATTTTGTCTGGGCGTGCACCGCCGCGGATTCCGCTGGAGTCACGGTGTGGGTAGAGGCAGCCCGACCCGCCGCGGATCATGGGGTGAGTGGGGGATGCCATGGGGTGCTGGCCCGGCCTGATGGGCTTGGCTGTACGGGACGGCACAGGGAGTCGCACAATCATCGACACGCTCACGCGAGACGCTGCGGAAATCGGCGAGGGTCACCGCTAGCACGATCGCGAACACGCAGGCGCAATAGCCGCAGTCGCGTGCGCACGCACGCACGGGTACACACAATCACGCGCCTGTACGCACTCACGCGCGTGCGCACACAGATCGTGCACACACACACACAGATCATACACAGATCACACACAGATCATACACAGATCACACACACACAGATCACACACAAACACAGATTTTGCACACACAGATCGTGCACACACACACACAGATTGTACACACACATACAGATCGTACACACACACACACAGATCACACACACAGATCACACACACACACAGATCACACACACAGATCGTACACACACACACAGATCACACACACACAGATCACACACACACACACACAGATCGTACACACACAGATCACACACACACAGAGATCACACACACACACAGATCGTACACACACACACACACAGATCACACACACACAGATCGTACACACACACACACAGATCACACACACACACAGATCACACACACACACAGATCACACACACACACACGCAGATCGTACACACACACACACAGATCGCACACACACACAGATCACACACACACACACAGATCACACACATAGATCGTACACACACACAGATCGTACACACACACAGATCACACACACACACACAGATCACACACACACACACACAGATCGTACACACACAGATCACACACACACACACAGATCACACACACACACACAGATCGTACACACACACACACAGATCACACACACACACACAGATCGTACACACACACACACACACAGATCACACACAGATCACACACACACACAGATCACACACACACACAGATCGTACACACACACACACACAGATCGTACACACACACAGATCACACACACACACAGATCGTACACACACACACAGATCACACACACCGTACACACACACATCGTACACACACACCGTACACACACCGTACACACACACACACACACCGTACACACACACACACACCGTACACACACACACACACCGTACACACACACCGTACACACACACACACACACCGTACACACACACACCATACATACACACACACACACACCATACATACACACACACCGTACACACACACACACACACCACACACACACACCATACACACACACACACACCACACACACCGTACACACACACACCATACACACACACACCACACACACCATACACACACATACACACACACACACCACACACACACCATACACACACACCATACACACACCACACACACCACACACACCATACACACACACACCGTACACACACCGTACACACACACACACCACACACACACACCATACACACACGCACACCACACACACCGTACACACACACCATACACACACACACACACCACACACACCATACACACACATACACACACACACCACACACACACCATACACACACACCATACACACACACCACACACACCACATACACACACACACCGTACACACACACACACCCACCGATCTGTGCGGAGTGTCCGCGCCGTGCCATGTTGCGCGTGCGCACAGCCTCCTTGATGCGGTCCACCTCGTGCTGGTAGCGCTTGCGGTCACGCATGGCACTCTCCTTGGCCTCCCTCAGCGCAGCTTCCAGCGCCTTGACACGCTCGGCGGTGGCACGCAGGCGCTTCTCCAGCTTAGGAAGCTCGCAGCGCAGATCCGCATTGTCACGAACCAGCTGGGGGGGGGGGGCAAGGGGGCAGGGGGGGCAAGGGGAAGGAGAGGAAGAGGGCGGGGAAGAAGAGAGGGAGGAGAAGAGATGGAGGGGAGGTGGAGGGGGAGATGGAGAGGAGATGGGGGGGGAGATGGGGGGGTGGAGGGGAGATAGGGGGGAGATGGGGGGGATAGGGGGGAGGTGGAGGGGGAGATGAGGGGGAGTAGGGGGGGAGATGGGGGGGGTGGAGGGGAGATGGGGGGGAGATGGGGGGGGTGGAGGGGAGATGGGGGGGAGATGGAGGGGAGATGGGGGGGGGGGTGGAGGGGAGATGGGGGGGAGATGGGTGGAGATGGGGGGGGAGATGGGGGGGAAGATGGGGGGGAAGATGGGGGGGGGAGATGGGGGGGAGATGAGGGGGAAGGTAGGGGGAGATAAGGGGGCGAGATGAGAAAGAGGGGGAAGGAGGGGGACAAGGGCAGAGGGAGGTGAGAGGGGGGAGGGGGTGGAAGGAAAGAGAGAGGAGAGATGGGTGTTGGAAGAGATGGATGTGAGGGAGAGGTGGGAGAGTTCGTTGGGGGTTGGAGAGAGTTGGGGAGTAGACGGGGGGGGAGGGGGTGGAAGCAGCGGTGAGAGAAAGTGGAGAGATGTTGGAGAGAGAGAGAGGTGGGGGTCGATGGGAGAGACAAGGTGAGGGGGAGAGAGAGAGATGGAATAGGAGACAGCAAAAGAGAAGTGGGAGACATTGGGGGGGGGGGGGTACAGGTGGGACGATAGGGGAGACATTGGGGGGGGGGGTACAGGTGGGAGGAGAGGGGAGATATTGGGGGGGGGGGTACAGGTGGGAGGAGAGGGGAGGAAGGGAACCAGCGAATGAATGAAGGAAGAGAATGAAGGGAGAATGATCGGGGAGAGAGGTGGAGAGAGATTGAGGGAGGCAGGTGATGGAGTAGGAAAAGAGAGAGAGAGAGAGAGGGCCTCAGGTTGGCTCCCACTAAGAGACGGTGCTGGAGGTGGTCACAGACCACAGCCGCGGAGAGGTGCGGCGACATCGGGGCTTACCTGCTTGTGCACCTTTGTAAGCTGCTCCAGGTTATTCTCAAGAAAGGAAATCTTCTGTTTCTGAGCAACGCTGCCTCCGGTGTCATCAGAGTCCATTTCTGCTGTCTGTGACACAAACCCAGACACACACGTCCATCATCGTCCATCATCGTCCATCATCCTCCATCATCGCCCATCATCGCCATCGTCAGCAACGGTGTCATCACCTTCATTATCCGCGTCAGATTCATCACCGTGTCCATCATCATCATTAGCATCATCATCAGTCGTCATCATCATCGTTATGATGAGCATTATTATAATAATCATCATCATCGTCATCATCATCACCATCATCAGCATCATCATGAATCTCATCATCATCACCATCAGTATCATCAGCATCATAATCACCATCACCATTCCTCGTGTCATTAGCATCCATATCTGTTACACACCAAACAAACATTCATCATCATCATCAGCAGCAGCAGCATAATCATTCACATCAGAATCATTACTGTTACTGTCATCATCACCATCATCATCACCATCATCATCAGTCCTCTTGTGTTATCAGCTTCCATCTCTGTTACACACCAGCCAAACAATCATCATCATCCTTCCGGGGTGGACAAAATCACCACTCGCAACACCTCAACAGGGCTGTGCCGGGTGGTGGCGGGTTTAACGACACATTTATATTTACGCTATCTAACCCACAAACTTCTATTACGGATAATATTGGTCGCGAAAGTCTACGTGTTAAACTAATGTATGTATATTCTTTGGTTCTTTCGGTAAAGTCATGTAGGTAAAACTAAAATAAAACTAAAATGAAAACAACTAAATTTCATTTTTGTTTTATTTTATTTTTACCTACGTGACTTTACCGGAAGAACCAAAGATTATGGATCCTTGCAGTCACGAAAAACTTCAAATCTAGATTTAATGTATGTACGTATGTACGTTGAACTTCTTTCGCACCGTACGTAGAAAACCGTGCTAATCGGAGGTGCGGGGGGGGGGAAGGAAAACCAACTAACAAGACAAAAATCAGTTGTAAAGATGATGTAAAGATGATATAAAAGTGCATCGCTTCCAGTGGCTTCCAAATAGAACCTCTAATGCGCCACAGATTGCCTTTCACTCTCGGAGAGAGAGAAACGCAGAGCGGCAGAGGCGCAGGAAAACCACCGGGCGAGTCGAAAGGCAGCCAGAAACCGACGTCAACAATTTCCCGAGCTCTGCGATCCTACGTTGGGATGATTGGCGAACTAAGGGCCCTCTGATTGGACGACTCCCTGGCCCAATGACCCGCAAACTCGTGACCTCCTGACAGTGCCAGATTATCCTCGTAGCACAAGTAGCTACTATATATGTAGTAGCTACTACATATATAGTAGCTACTACATATGTAGTAGCTACTACATATGTAGTATCTACTACGCGTGTAGTAGCTACTACGCGTGTAGTAGCTACGAGGCCCCACACTTTCAAGGGCCCCGCGCTAAATACTTAGAAGCTATCAATTCCGGTTCAGTGATTCTGCACTTGCTCTATTACTATAGTACTATACCACCTTCAACTGTTATGAACGACTGAGTGTTTAAGGTTAGCGATTTGTCGTATTATCTGTCTGTATAGCAAATGACAAAAATACAATTACTTTACTGTGCGAGTAAAAAAAATAGTGTTTTAATATTTATGGTTTTTTTATTTTTTTTATTTTAGGGGCCCCTTTATAACATCATAATTATACTGCAGGCCCCGCACTAGCTTCATCCGGCACTACTGCCTCCTGACCTTTTTGACTCGGGTGGCGATGTCCTGCACGAACAGCTTGCGCAGATTGTGCAGTGTCTGGAGCTCCTTCGCCTGTGGCGGGGGGCAGGGAAGACGGTTGTGGAGTCCCGTTACACGCCGAGCGGTGTGTCACCGCGTTCATGAGAAGCTGCGTGATGATGATGGTTGTGATGATGATTATTGAGATGATGGTGATGATGATGAAGGTTGTGATGATGATGGTGGTTGTGTTGATGACGATTAATGAGAAGCTGATGGTGATGGTTGTGATGATGATGATGGTGGTGGTTGTGATGGTGATGGTTGTGATGATGAAGGTGGTTGTGATGATGACGATTAATGAGAAGCTGCTGATGAAGATGGTGTTAATGATGATGAAGGTGGTTGTGATGATGATGATGATGGTTGCGATGATGACGATTGATGAGGAGTCGATGATGATGATGACGGTTGTGATGATCATGATGGTTGTGATGATGATTATTGAGAAGCTGATGGTGATGATGAAGGTGGTTGTGATAACAATTAATGAGAATCTGCATGATGATGGTAGTGGTGGTGCTGCTGCTGCTGCTGCTGTGACTAAACGTACCACGGTCTCCTCCAATCCTTTAAGGTCCTGTCGGGCCTGCTCCCGTCTGTCCTGGAGGAGTCTGTACACATACGCACGCACACCCGCAGACACACACGGGCACACGCGCACAGACATACACGGGTGCACACAGGCGTGAACGCACCCACAGATACACACGCACACGCGCGCGCACAGACACACACGGGCACACGGGCGCACACATGGGCGTGAACACACCCAAAGAAACACGCGCGCACACGTGCACACAGACACACACATGCACACGTGCACACAGACACATACATGCACACACGTGCACACAGACACACACGGGCACACGGGCACACACAGACATGAACACACCGACAGATACACATGCACACACGTGCACACAGACACACACGGGCGCACACAGACATGAACACACCCACACACGCGCACACAAGCACAGACACATACATGCACATAGGCACGCACAGGCGTGAACATACCCACAGACACACACGCACATACACACAGACATGCATGTCGGCACACGTAAGTGTACACACACAGGCGTGAACACACAAACGCAAAGATCCCCCGTGTAGCCTTCACAGACTGTCGGGGCAAGTGCTGTTAGCGGGCACCCTTGAAGGCCGACACGGCACACGAGGGGGTGGGTGGCCAGCACCACGCCCGGCCGCCTTTGTCTCCCCGGTGGCGATGTTTACTACACACCGCACCAGGTGCTCAATTGAGGCTGAGACGACCTAGGGGAGACCCAGGACCGATTCAGATCATCGTCACCCATGTTGGCCGTGAGCGGGAATCGAACCCGGGTTCGCCGGCTTCGCAGCGCAGCGCTGACCCCACACCTCCGACGAGCGTGGTTTGCCACGTCCGGTGCGAACGAAGTTCAACAAACGCGCACACAAAGACAAAGGTCCCCCGTATGGCCTCTTAACGGACCGTTGGGGCAAGTGATGTTAGCGAGCGCCTGTCACGTGCCGGCGGCACGGCGCACGAGAGGGCTAGGTGGTGGTCATAACCACGCCCGGCCGCCTTTGTCTCCCCACTGGTGCTGCCATCGCATCGCACCTCGGTACTCGCTTTAGGCTGAGTCGACCCAGGGGAGGTCCCGGAACCGGTTCAGGGATTCGTCACCGATGCTGGCGGCGCGAGCCGGTGGGAATGGAACTCTGGCCGGCGGGTTCCGTGGCGCGGCGCGCTAACCACTGCGCCGCCGCTCGCCGTACAAAACTACAAACACGCGTGAACGCGCGAAGATGGCAACGCTAAGGGCCCGCGAGGCAGAGAGCTTCACGAACCCGCTCGCCGCACGGCCATATTCTGTGCCCCCCCCCCGCCCCGCCTCCCCCATCTCTGCGCGACCCGCCAACCCTCGCCTCCGAACCCGCGGGGTCACGGAGCGCGTACCGCCACGCCTCGGCTACAGCGATGAGGGCGACGCACGGCCACGCAGCGCAGCGACGGCATGCGACGCGCCATGCGGGAACACGCGCGACATGCCACGGCGACGACGCGTCAAGTATTTTACAAACCCCGCGGAATCGCGCCGTTGGCCGCCGGTTGAGCACCCCCCCGGCCCGTGCCACTGGAGCTCCCGAGGCTTTGGAACGCTTTTGGCTTCGCTAGTGAAGGCAACAACCGGAGTGGTGAGCTAGATTTGAGTCCCTTCTGGGAAAAGTCACCTCTGCAGACTGCGCTTTGCCCACCACTAGTTCTGGCCGTTTACCCAGCTGTTTGTTACTGAGCGAGTGGGTGAGTGGGTAAGCGAGTCAGTGAGTCGATGAGTGGGTGAATGTGTGAGTGAGTGAGTGGGTGAGTGGGTGAGTGGGTGGGTGAGTGAGTGAGTCGATGAGTGGGTGAATGTGTGAGTGAGTGAGTGGGTGAGTGGGTGGGTGAGTGTGTGGGTGAGTGAGTAGGTGAGTGACTAAGTGGGTAAGTGGGTGAGTGGGCGAGTGAGTGGGTGAATGAGTGACTAGGTGAGTGGGTGAGTGGGGGAGTGAGTGAGTAGGTGAATAGGTGATTGGATGGGTGAGTAAGTGAGTAAATGAAATGCACCACTTTTACTTATTTTAAAGGATTGTTATTATTTAAACCGCATCCCGACATTCAAAGCTGAACATCGGCTTCGTCAGCCATGGTCAATCCACTGCTGGATGAAGCCCCCCCCCAGGCCACCGCCACCTCGCGCGGTCCCGCGAAATCACGCGAGCCGATTTCACTGCTCCACCGTTACCACTGCTCCACCAGGTGACGGTGGAGCAGATAACCACTGGTGGAGCAGTGGAAATCGGTAGAGTTGGAAAGTGTGCCTAGCCCAGCACGGACTGAGCCACAACATGTCATCGTACCGCCGTAACATGCGATGCGCCGTAACATGCGATGCGCCACCTCATTCACCATGCCATGCCACGCTTTGCCATGCAATGTGGAAGCTTGTTGGTTGTGAGTTGAGCATGTGACCCACCGCGGGACCTCCCATCGCGAGATAACTGAGAAATATATTATAATTGTTTTTATAATCTCGTTTTGTTCGCATCGCCTCGTTTGTGTCGTCCGTCTCGTTTGTGTTGTCTGTCCGCATTTGTATCGTGCGGAGCGCCCTTCCTGCTGAGATTAGGGATCCACTGGAGAGCAATCCACTTTCAAATCTAAATTGAAAACGAATTTCTTTAGAACTGCTTTTTTGTGTGTGTCGGTTAGTTTGCTGACCTTCCACCCCCGCACCGTTGGGCTACGTACGGTGCGAAAGAAGTTCAACGCACACACGCTGTTCATTCTGTCTAGCTCGTTCCATTAGACCAGGGGTGGGGAAACGTCCGGCCCACGAAGCCGTTTAGGGCCCGCAGAATCATTGGGTCTCTGGCTCTGCCAAGGCAACCGCAGGCGGGACTCGAAATTCAATAAATCTAGGAGCAAACCTGGAAAAAGCAGTTGCGAGTAGCAGCAACATCGTCAATACCGGCTAACATCATCACCACGCCTCGCCAAAGAGAATCAGTTCCAGCCCATCGCATTAGGGGCGAGTTAATTAAATGTTTGACCAAATATAGCAGGCTAATTTTTAAGTTGATAATTTAGTATGGCCCGCGAATGATGTTATATAAATATCCAAATGGCCCTTGGCAGAGAAAAGGTTCCCCACCCCTGCATTAGAGCTATCAGGTCAATTTTGAAAATCGTTTGCATGCAATTTGCATCTCAATTTGGGAGGGATCGATCCTTGTGCCAACGGCATCTGTAGCCAGCGTGAGGATCGCTCCGAATCGATGGAGAGGACCGGAGGACCGGTGGTCACATTGGTCAGCAATCACCCTGTGGTGTCGTGATGCCAGCCTGCAGATGGTGAGTGTTGAGTGGCAGGTGGTGAGTGTTGGGTGGTGGGTGGTGAGTGTGGGGTGGCAGGTGGTGAGTGTGGGGTGGCAGGTGGTGAGTGTTGGGTGGCAGGTGGTGAGTGTTGGGTGGCAGGTGGTGAGTGTTGAGTGGCAGGTGGTGAGTAATGGGTGGCAGGTGGTGAGTGTTGAGTGGCAGGTGGTGAGTGTTGAGTAGCAGGTGGTGAGTGTTGGGTGGCAGGTGGTGAGTGTGGGGTGGCAGGTGGTGAGTGTTGGGTGGCAGGTGGTGAGTGTGGGGTGGCAGGTGGTGAGTGTTGAGTAGCAGGTGGTGAGTGTTGGGTGACAGGTGGTGAGTGTTGTGTGGCAGGTGGTGAGTGTGGGGTGGCAGGTGGTGAGTGTTGGGTGGCAGGTGGTGAGTGTGGGGTGGCAGGTGATGAGTGTTGAGTAGCAGGTGGTGAGTGTTGGGTGACAGGTGGTGAGTGTTGGGTGGCAGGTGGTGAGTGTGGGGTGGCAGGTGGTGAGTGTTGGGTGGCAGGTGGTGAGTGTGGGGTGGCAGGTGGTGAGTGTTGAGTAGCAGGTGGTGAGTGTTGAGTGGCAGGTGGTGAGTAATGGGTGGCAGGTGGTGAGTATTGAGTGGCAGGTGGTGAGTATTGGGTGACAGGTGGTGAGTGTTGTGTGGCAGGTGGTGAGTATTGGGTGGCAAGTGGTGAGTGTTGAGTGGCAGGTGGTGAGTGTTGAGTGGCAGGTGGTGAGTATTGGGTGGCAAGTGGTGAGTATTGGGTGGCAGGTGGTGAGTATTGAGTGGCAGGTGGTGAGTATTGGGTGGCAAGTGGTGAGTATTGGGTGGCAGGTGGTGAGTGTTGAGTGGCAGGTGGTGAGTATTGGGTGGCAAGTGGTGAGTGTTGGGTGGCAAGTGGTGAGTGTTGGGTGGCAGGTGGTGAGTATTGGGTGGCAGGTGGTGAGTGTGGGGTGGCAGGTGGTGAGTGTGGGGTGGCAGGTGGTGAGTGTGGGGTGGCAGGTGGTGAGTGTTGGGTGGCGGGTGGCGGGTAGCGGTGCTGCATGGCGGGGCGAGGCGGAAGGCAGGCACGTACGTGAGCTCATGGAGTCTCCGACTTTTCTCCTGTTCCTCACTTTTTAGCTTCTCGTAGTCGGAGCGGAGCCGCTCCTGCTCCAGCTGCAGCTTCTGGTTGAGGCTGCGCACGCGACGCAACACGACGCGGGGTGACACAACGTCGTCGCTTGACACACACACACAGGGTGACACAATGACGTCACTACACACACACACACAGGGTGACACAACGTCGTCGCTTGACACACACACACACACAGGGTGACATAATGTCGTCGCTTGACACACACACACAGGGTGACACAACGTCGTCACTACACACACACACAGGGTGACACAACGACGTCGCTACACACACACAGGGTGACACAACGACGTCACTACACACACACAGGGTGACACAACGACGTCGCTACACACACACACTCGGGGTGACACAACAACGTCGCTACACACACACACAGGGTGACACAACGACGTCACTACACACACACAGGGTGACACAACGACGTCACTACACACACACAGGGTGACACAACGACATCGCTACACACACACACAGGGTGACACAACGTCACTACACACAGGGTGACACAACGACATCGCTACACACACACACAGGGTGACACAACGTCACTACACACACACACAGGGTGACACAACGACGTCACTACACACACACAGGGTGACACAACGTCGCTACACACACACACAGGGTGACACAACGACGTCACTACACACACACAGAGTGACACAACGACGTCGCTACACACACACTCAGGGTGACACAACGACATCGCTACACACACACACAGGGTGACACAACGACGTCACTACACACACACACACAGGGTGACACAACGACATCGCTACACACACACACAGGGTGACACAACGACATCGCTACACACACACAGGGTGACACAACGACGTCACTACACACACACAGGGTGACACAACGACGTCACTACACACACACACAGGGTGACACAACGACGTCACTACACACACACAGGGTGACACAACGACGTCACTACACACACACAGGGTGACATAACGACGTCACTACACACACACAGGGTGACACAACGACGTCACTACACACACACAGGGTGACACAACGACATCGCTACACACACACACAGGGTGACACAACGACGTCACTACACACACACACACAGGGTGACACAACGACATCGCTACACACACACACAGGGTGACACAACGACGTCACTACACACACACAGGGTGACACAACGACGTCGCTCGACACACACACAGGGTGGCACAACAACGTCACTACACACACACACAGGGTGACATAACGACGTCACTACACACACACAGGGTGACACAACGACATCGCTACACACACACACAGGGTGACACAACGACGTCACTACACACACACAGGGTGACACAACGTCGCTACACACACACACAGGGTGACACAACGACGTCGCTACACACACACAGGGTGACACAACATCGCTCGACACACACACACAGGGTGACACAACGATATCACTACACACACACAGGGTGACACAACGACGTCACTACACACACACAGGGTGACACAACGACGTCACTACACACACACAGGGTGACACAACGACGTCACTACACACACACACAGGGTGACACAACGACGCCGCTACACACACACACACAGGGTGACACAACGACGTCGCTACACACACACACAGTGACACAACGACGTCGCTACACACACACAGGGTGACACAACGACGTCACTACACACACACACAGGGTGACACAACGACGTCACTACACACACACAGGGTGACACAACGACGTCGCTACACACACACAGGGTGACACAACGACGTCGCTACACACACACAGGGTGACACAATGACGTCACTACACACACACAGGGTGACACAACGACGTCACTACACACACACAGGGTGACACAACGACGTCGCTACACACACACAGGGTGACACGACGTCACTACACACACACACAGGGTGACACAACGTCGCTACACACACACACAGGGTGACAAAACGACGTCGCTACACACACACAGGTTGACACGACGTCACTACACACACACACAGGGTGACACAACGTCGCTCGACACACACACAGGGTGACACAACGACGTCGCTACACACACACAGGGTGACACAACGACATCACTACACACACACAGGGTGACACAACGACGTCGCTACACACACACACACACAGGGTGACACAACGACGTCGCTACACACACACAGTGACACAACGACGTCGCTACACACACACAGGGTGACACAACGACGTCACTACACACACACAGGGTGACACAACGACGTCACTACACACACACAGGGTGACACAACGACGTCGCTACACACACACAGGGTGACACAACGACGTCGCTACACACACAGGGTGACACAATGACGTCACTACACACACACAGGGTGACACAACGACGTCACTACACACACACAGGGTGACACAACGACGTCGCTACACACACACAGGGTGACACGACGTCACTACACACACACACAGGGTGACACAACGTCGCTACACACACACACAGGGTGACACAACGACGTCGCTACACACACACAGGTTGACACGACGTCACTACACACACACACAGGGTGACACAACGTCGCTCGACACACACACAGGGTGACACAACGACGTCGCTACACACACACAGGGTGACACAACGACATCACTACACACACACAGGGTGACACAACGACGTCGCTACACACACACAGGGTGACACAACGACATCGCTACACACACACACAGGGTGACACAACGTCGCTACACACACACACACAGGGTGACACAACGACGTCGCTACACACACACACAGTGACACAACGACGTCACTACACACACACACAGGGTGACACAACGACGTCACTACACACACACACAGGGTGACACAACGACGTCGCTACACACACACAGGGTGACACGGCGTCGCTCGACACACACGCTCTCACAAATGACGGCTCAACAAAGTGACTCATCACCCACCATCACCGTGTGGACATGTATAAGCAGCTGCCAAATAATCTAAACGTGTGATGTTTATTCTAAATGTGGAAGACCCGGAGAAAACTCCACGCGACCACGGGGAGTAAGCGAGAGAGACACGCAAACTCCAAATATACAGCAGCAGCAGGTATCATCAGTGTCGGGATCGAACCCACGACCTCCTGTAAACCAGGCGAGGTAGTTAACATCTCCTAGCCACCGTGATCATGATGAGAGAGAGAGACACGCAAACTCCAAATATACAGCAGCAGGCGTCAGGGTCGTGATCGAACCCACGACCTCCTGTATACCAGGCGAGGTAGTCAACATCTCATAGCCACCGTGGCACTCACACAGGGTCACACACCGTAGGACACAACGGGAGCACCTATGAAGGCCGGCACGTAAAACGAGGGGGTGGGTGGCCAACACCACGCCCGGCCGCCTTTGTCTCCCCAGTGCTAACTCGTACACACTGCCTCGTGTACTCAGAGGCTGAGTAGACCTAGGTGAGGCCCAGGACCGGCTCAGCTGATTGTCACTGGTGTTGGCCGTGAGCGGGAATCGAACTCGGAAGGTCTGGGTTCGTGGTGCAGCGCGCCAACCACTACACTAACCGCTACGTGCGCACACACACATGCACACACACGCACAGGTGCACACACATGAACACACGTGCGTACTCACACACACGCATGTACACACACTCTACAGATACACACACACTCTACAGATACACACACGTTCGTACAAACGCACGTGCGTACTCACGCACACGCACACGCGTGCGAGCACTCACTCCTTGAGTCCGTCCACGATCTTCTGCTTCTCGTCGATTTCGTCACGCAGGCGAGACAGCTGCTTGTGGTGGCTCTCGCGGTGTTCCATCATCTGCTGCTCCAGGGCGTTCTGCCGGAAGCAAAGACAACGATCCCTCGATGGTGCTGATGATGGTGCCGATGATGGTGCTGAGGATGATGATGGCGCTCATGATGATGATGGCGCCGATGATGGTGCTGATGATGGTGCCGATGATGGTGCTGATGTTGTTGCTGATGATAATGATGGCGCCGATGATGATGGCGCCGATGATGATGGCGCCAATGATGATGGTGCTGATGATGGCGCCAATGATGATGGTGCTGATGATGATGGTGCCGATGATGTTGCTGATGATGATAGCACTGATGATGGCGCTGGTGACGATGGTCCTGATGATGACAGCGTTGATGATAATGGCGCTGATGATGGTGCTGATGATGATGGTACTAATGATGATGGCGCTGATGATGGTGGCACTGATGATGGTGCGGATGATGGCGCTGATGATGATGGTACTGATGATGACGGTGCTGATGATGATGATACTGATGATGATGCCGCTGATGAAGATGTAGCTAATGATGATGGCACTGATGATGATGATGGTGCTGATGATGATTGTGTGCAGGGCAAGCTGCATCTACTCAATGGATGAGCATCTCGAGTTCCACATCAAGGTACAAAGATAAAGATCCCCCGTGTAACCTTAACCAACTGCTGGGGCAAGTGCTGTCAGCGAGCACCTGTGAAGGCCGACACGGCACATGAGGGGGTGGGTGGCCAGCACCACGCCCGGCCGCCTTTGTCTCCCCAGTGCTGATGATTACACACAGCACCAGGTGCTCGTTTAAGGCTGAGTCGACCTAGGGGGGGGGGGTCCACCTTCATCTCATGAGCATCCTGCAGTTTGTCCAGATGCTCCTTCTCCTTGTCCTTGAACGAGACTTCGTGCATTTTCTCTGTGACGACGAGGAGGGGGAGGAGGAGGAGGGTGAGGGTGAGGAGGACGAGGAGGAGGGTGAGGAGGGTGAGGAGGGAGAGGAGGAGGGTGAGGAGGAGGGAGAGGAGGACGAGGAGGAGGGTGAGGAGGAGGGAGAGGAGGAGGGTGAGGAGGGTGAGGAGGAGGGTGAGGAGGGTGAGGAGGAGGGAGAGGAGGAGGGTGAGGAGGAGGGTGAGGAGGAGGGTGAGGAGGAGGGTGAAGAGGAGGGTGAGGAAGAGGAGGGAGAGGAGGGTGAGGAGGAGGGTGAGGAGGGTGAGGAGGAGGGAGAGGAGGAGGGTGAGGAGGAGGGTGAGGAGGGTGAGGAGGAGGGAGAGGAGGAGGGTGAGGAGGGTGAGGGTGAGGAGGAGAGGAGGAGGGTGAGGAGGAGGGAGAGGAGGAGGGTGAGGAGGAGGGTGAGGAGGAGGGTGAGGAGGAGGGTGAAGAGGAGGGTGAGGAGGAGGGAGAGGAGGAGGGTGAGGAGGAGGGTGAAGAGGAGGGTGAGGAGGAGGGTGAGGAGGAGGAGGGAGAGGAGGGTGAGGAGGAGGGTGAGGAGGAGGGTGAGGAGGAGGGAGAGGAGGAGGGTGAGGAGGAGGGAGAGGAGGGTGTGATTAAAACCATCATCAGAACACGATGACAAGGCATATGGTAGCCTCCTGGTAACGAGACACCATGGCGACTGGAAGCCATGTCAACCAGTAGTCATAGAAACATGACGTCATGGCTACTGGTGGTCATGGCAACTGGTGTCATGGGAACGTGATCGTCACAGTGACCGTGTGTCACAGCAGTGCGGGGCCTCGTGGCAACGAGGTGTCACGGTAACCGGGTGTGGTGGAACCAAGGTGTCTTTGCCACAAAGAAACCATGGCAACCAAGCAGAATGGGAACTGTGGCCCATGGTGACAAGGCATGACAGCAACTTGCTGCCATGGCAATGAGCCATTTTGGCAGTTGGTTACCAAGGTAACAGGTTGCTATGGCAACGAGGCTTTAAGGCTACGTACAGTGCAAAAGAAGTTCAACATACGTGTCATTAACAGCAGGGCATTGCGGTGACCAGTCGTCATGACAATACAATGCCACGGCAACCAGGTGCCATGGCAACCGGCATCACATCAACCAGGTGCCACGGCAAACCAGGCTCCATTTCGAACGTGACTTAACGCACGTAATGTGGAACTTCTTTCGCACCGTACGCGGCCAACCGCGCTAATCGGAGGTGCGCGGGAAGGACAACAATGCATTGCAGCGACTGGTCTCCGCGGCGACGGGCGTGGCGGACCGACCCTGAGCACGCAGCTGAGCGAGCTCCTCGCTGAGCGTGTCGTAGGCGTCCTCCAGCTGCCGCTTCTTCAGCTCCACGCTCTGCATGTACTCGCTGAGCGAGCGGATCTTCGCCTCGTGCTGCGGGGGGCAGAGGGGGGAGGGAGGGGGGTACAGGCGCGGTGAAGGGTTCGGTCCAATTGTGTGCAGGGATTGGATGACGACGGCTGGCGGCGGCGGTGACGGCGGCGGTGCGGGCGCGGCACCTGCGAGATGAGCAGCTGGCAGGCGGCGAGTTCGCGCTCGGACGCCTCGGCCTTGCGGCTGCACTCGCCCTGCGTGGCCTCCAGCTGGCGGCTGCGCTTCACCAGAGACTTCACCTCCGACTTCATCTTGCTCACGTAGAGGCGCGCCACCGTGAACTCCTCCTCGATCATGCCGCTCGCGTCCGCCGCCTGCGGAGCGAAGGCGACACGGGCGGCGGTTAACGCCGGGGACGCCGGGGACCGGCAACACCGCCGGGGGCGCGCACGCCGACGCGGAGCACGCCAACAAGGAGCACGCCAACACAGAACACGCCAACACAGAACACGCCAACATGGAACACGCCAACGCGGAACACGCCAACACAGAGCACGCCAACAAGGAGCACGCCAACACAGAGCACGCCAACACGGAACACGCCAACATGGAACACGCCAACGCGGAACACGCCAACACGGAACACGCCAACACAGAACACGCCAACACAGAACACGCCAACATGGAACATGCCAACGCGGAACACGCCAACACAGAGCACGCCAACAAGGAGCACGCCAACACAGAACACGCCAACACGGAACACGCCAACAAGGAGCACGCCAACATGGAACACGCCAACACGGAACACGCCAACACAGAACACGCCAACGCGGAACACGCCAACACAGAACACGCCAACACAGAACACGCCAACACAGAACACGCCAACATGGAACACGCCAACATGGAACACGCCAACACGGAACACGCCAACACGGAGCACGCCAACATGGAACACGCCAACATGGAACACGCCAACACAGAAGACGTCAACACAGAACACGCCAACAAGGAACACGCCAACACAGAACACGCCAACACAGAACACGCCAACACAGAACACGCCAACATGGAACACGCCAACAAGGAACATGCCAACACGGAACACGCCAACACAGAACACGCCAACACAGAACACGCCAACACGGAACACGCCAACGCGGAACACGCCAACACAGAACACGCCAACATGAAACACGCCAACACGGAGCACGCCAACACAGAACACGCCAACACAGAACACGCCAACACGGAACACGCCAACATGGAACACGCCAACACAGAACACGCCAACACAGAACACGCCAACACAGAACACGCCAACACAGAACACGCCAACACAGAACACGCCAACATGGAACACGCCAACGCGGAACACGCCAACATGGAACACGTCAACACGGAGCACGCCAACACGGAGCACGCCAACACAGAACACGCCAACATGGAACACGCCAACATGGAACACGTCAACACGGAGCACGCCAACATGGAACACGCCAACACGGAACACGCCAACACGGAACACGCCAACACAGAACACGCCAACGCGGAACACGCCAACACAGAACACGCCAACATGGAACACGCCAACAAGGAACACGCCAACACAGAACACGCCAACACAGAACACGCCAACACAGAACACGCCAACACAGAACACGCCAACATGGAACACGCCAACATGGAACACGCCAACACAGAACACGTCAACACAGAACACGCCAACAAGGAACACGCCAACACAGAACACGCCAACACAGAACACGCCAACACAGAACACGCCAACATGGAACACGCCAACAAGGAACACGCCAACACGGAACACGCCAACACAGAACACGTCAACACAGAACACGCCAACACAGAACACGCCAACACAGAACACGCCAACAAGGAACACGCCAACACGGAACACGCCAACACAGAACACGCCAACACAGAACACGCCAACACGGAACACGCCAACACAGAACACGCCAACACAGAACACGCCAACACAGAACACGCCAACATGGAACACGCCAACGCGGAACACGCCAACATGGAACACGCCAACACAGAACACGCCAACACAGAACACGCCAACACAGAACACGCCAACACAGAACACGCCAACACAGAACACGCCAACGCGGAACACGCCAACACAGAACACGCCAACATGGAACACGCCAACACGGAGCACGCCAACACAGAACACGCCAACACAGAACACGCCAACACAGAACACGCCAACACAGAACACGCCAACACAGAACACGCCAACATGGAACACGCCAACAAGGAGCACGCCAACACGGAACACGCCAACACAGAACACGCCAACATGGAACACGCCAACATGGAACACGCCAACATGGAACACGCCAACACAGAACACGTCAACACAGAACACGCCAACATGGAACACGCCAACATGGAACACGCCAACATGGAACACGCCAACACAGAACACGTCAACACAGAACACGCCAACACGGAACACGCCAACGCGGAACACGCCAACACGGAGCACGCCAACACAGAACACGCCAACACGGAACACGCCAACACGGAACACGCGTGCTCGCGCAAACACGCGTGTTCCCCCGCTTACACGGAGGCAGGAGGATGCGCGGAGGGCAACACGAGGGCAGGAGGAGGGGTGAGGCAGAGTCGGACAGAATAAGAGGAGGCAATGAAGATGAGGAGAGGGAATGGCAAGGTAAGAGGGAGGTGAGGAGGGGGGTGGGGTGAGGAGGGCGGGGTGAGGAGGGAGGTGAGGAGGGAGGTGAGGAGGGAGGGGGAAGGAGGTGAGGAGGGAGGGGGAAGGAGGTGAGGAGGGGGGGTGAGGAGGGAGGTGAGGAGGGGGGAGGGAGGAGGAGGGAGGTGAGGAGGGAGGGGTGAGGAGGGGGGGTGAGGAGGGGGGTGAGGTGGGGGGTGGGGTGAGGAGGGAGGTGAGGAGGGAAGGGTGAGGAGGGAAGGGTGAGGAGGGAGGGGTGAGGAGGGAGGGGTGAGGAGGGAGGGGTGAAGAGGGCGGGGTGAAGAGGGGGGGTGAGGAGGGAGGGGTGAGGAGGGAGGGGGGGTGAGGAGGGAGGGGTGAGGAGTGAGGAGGGAGGGGTGAGGAGGGAGGGGGGTGAGGAGGGAGGGGTGAGGGGTGAGGAGGGAGGGGTGAGGAGGGGGGGTGAGAAGGGAGGGGTGAGGAGGGAGGGTGAGGAGGGAGGAGTGAGGAGGGAGGGGGGTGAGGAGGGAGGGGTGAGGAGTGAGGAGGGGGGGTGAGGAGGGAGGGTGAGGAGGGAGGAGTGAGGAGGGAGGGGGGGTGAGGAGGGAGGGGGGTGAGGAGGGAGGGGTGAGGGGTGAGGAGGGAGGGGTGAGGAGGGGGGGTGAGAAGGGAGGGGTGAGGAGGGAGGGTGAGGAGGGAGGAGTGAGGAGGGAGGGGGGTGAGGAGGGAGGGGTGAGGAGTGAGGAGGGGGGGTGAGGAGGGAGGGTGAGGAGGGAGGAGTGAGGAGGGAGGGGGGGTGAGGAGGGAGGGGGGTGAGGAGGGAGGGGTGAGGGGTGAGGAGGGAGGGGTGAGGAGGGGGGCGTGGACCTTGATGTCGCTGTTGCCCACGGCCGTGCCGATCTCCCCCAGGTCCTTGAGCAGCGACGACAGCATCTCGGTGACGCGCTTCTTGTGGTGACTGCTTGTCTCCTGGAGCCGCTGCACCTCGGCCTCGCTTGCCGCCAGGGAGCTCTGCGCACACCGTCGTCATCACCGTCGCCGTCGTCATCACCGTCGTCAACATCATCATCGCCGTCGTCATCATCGTCATCATCATCACGTCATCTGATCGCATAACATCGTGTCGTCGCGTCATTGTCATTAGCATCAATCGTGTCATCATCATCATCATCGTTATCATCGTCATCTTCGTCGTCATTGTCATTAAACATTGTCATCATCATCAACATCGTCATTGTCATCACGTCATCATCGTCATCATCATCATCGTCGTCATCACGTCTTCATCATCGTCATCATTGTCGTCATCATCATCGTCATCATCGTCATCGTCATCAACATTATCATAAACATTGTCATTATCATCATTGTCGTCATCAACATGGTCATCATCATCACCATCGTCCTCATCACGTCTTCATCATCGTCATCATCATCGTCATCATCGTCATCAACATTATCATAAACATTGTCATTATCATCATTGTCGTCATCAACATGGTCATCATCATCGTCCTCATCATAGTCGTCGTCGTCATTATCGTCGTCGTCATCATCGTCATCATCGTTGTCATCGTCATCAACATTATCATAAACATTGTCATCATCATCATTGTCGTCATCAACATGGACATCATCATCATCATCGTCCTCATCATAGTCGTCGTCATTATCGTCGTCGGCGGCGACGCACGATCTTCTGGGCGAGCTCCTCGCTGAGCGCCGCGTAGTCGCGGCCGCGGTCCTCAGCCTCCTGCGACTTTTGGTCGTAGTTGACGGCGAGCTCCTCGAGCGCCTGCAGCACCTCCTTCACCTCCTCCTTGGCCGCCTCGTTCTCGGCCTGCAGCCGGGAGAGCTCCTCCTGGACGCCCTCGTGGTCGCGGCGCGTCGACGCGATCAGCTGAGACGCGGCCCAGACAACATCGCCACCGTCATCGCCGTCGTCATCGCCACCATCATCGCCATCGTCATCGCCGTCGTCATCAGCATCGTCATCACCATCACCATCATCACCATCGTCAGCATCATCACCATCATCATCACCATTATCATCACTATCATCATCCCCATCATCACCATCGTCATCATCATGACCATCGTAATCATCATCCCCATCATTACCTTCACAATCACCATCATCACCAGTATCGTCATCACCATCGTCATCATCACCACCATGATCACCATTATCGACACCGTCGTCATCGCCATCGTCACCATCAAATCACCATCGTCATCACCATCGTCATCATTACCATTGTTATTACTATCATCATCCCCATCATGAACATCGTCATCACCATTATCATCACCATCGTCAGCATCGTCACCATCACTGTCATCGAAAACACCACCGCCACTCGTGTCCCCATGGCGCTCACCTCCTCCTGATCCAGCATCTGCTGCTTGAGTTTCTCGGCCAGCTGGCTCTGCTGGTTGATCTCATCATCCTGAGCAGAGCGGGCAGCGACATCATCATCATCATCATCGTCATCATCATCGTCATCGTCGTCGTCGTCATCATCATCGCCGTCATTGTTATCGTCAATGATGGTGATGTTAAAGACCCCGCGACGACTCCCCGTCATTCGTGCTCTGTACTGGGCTCTTGTAGTATGAATAAATAAATAACGAGATATGATGATGATAATAAACATAATCATATAAACAAAACTTTTCACCGGTGATGTCATTCCCGCATGCGTGACGTTATTCCCGTGTGGGCGTGACGTCATTCCAGCGTGGGCGTGGCGTCATTCCAGCCTGAGCGTGACGTCATTCCAGCGTGGGCGTGACGTCATTCCAGCCTGAGCGTGACGTCATTCCAGCGTGGGCGTGGCGTCATTCCAGCCTGAGCGTGACGTCATTCCAGCGTGGGCGTGACGTCATTCCAGCGTGAACGTGACGTCATTCCAGCGTGGGCGTGACGTCATTCCAGCGTGGGCGTGACGTCATTCCAGCGTGGGCGTGACCTCGTTCCCACGTGCGTCCCCGCGTGTTCCCGTGCCCCCCGACCTGTGTCCAACCACCGCCCCCTCCCCCCGCCCGCGTGCTCCACCAACCCCCCGCCCACCGCCCCCCCCCCACCCCTCACCTTGTCATCGAGCTGCTTGTAGAGGTGGCGGATGTCGTCGTCGTACTTGATCCGCTCGGCGTCGCCGATGCGCGTCGCCGGGACCGCCGGCGCGGTGGGGGTGTCGGCGCCGCCGCCGCCGCCGCCGCCCCCGGACGCCGGCGCGTTGTCCACCGTCATGGCCTCCAGGCTGCGGCGCTCCTTGGCGTCCAGCTGCTCGCTCTCGGGCACCGACTCACCTGCGGGGAGGGGTAGAGGAGACGGGTCATGGGGAGAGGTCACGGGGAGAGGTCACGGGGAGGGGTCACGGGGAGGGGTCGTGGGGAGAGGTCGCGGGGTGAGGTTGTGGGGAGAGGTCGCGGGGTGAGGTCGCGGGGTGAGGTCGTGGGGAGAGGTCGTGGGGAGAGGTCGTGGGGAGAGGTCGCGGGGAGAGGAGCGGCATCGTCACGTGCAGTTACGAGTCATTACAAATCATCACGATTCGTCACGAGTCATCATCACGCGTCATCATCACGAGTCATCACGAGTCATCATCACGAGTCATCATCACGAGTCATCATCACGAGTCATCATCACGAGTCATCACGAGTCATCATCACGAGTCGTCATCACGAGTCATCACGAGTCATCACGAGTCATCATCACGAGTCATCATCACGAGTCATCACGAGTCATCACGAGTCATCACGAGTCATCATCACGAGTCATCATCACGAGTCATCACGAGTCATCACGTGTCATCATCACGAGTCATCATCACGAGTCGTCATCACGAGTCGTCACGAGTCGTCATCACGAGTCATCATCACGAGTCATCATCACGAGTCATCATTACGAGTCGTCATCACGAGTCGTCGTCACGCACCGTTGCGCCAGCGCAGGAGCTCGGCCTCCAGCCTCGTCACGGCCATCTTGAGCCCCTTGTTCTTGTCCTTCTCCTTCTCGAACTTCTTCTTCCACTCCTCGGCCGTGAGCTCCAGGTTCACGCTCACCTGGTTCTTGATGGTCTTTGCCCTGCGCACACAGCCCACACGGCACACGGTGGCGCACACAGACGAACGCTCGCGCACCGCTGTGCGCCAGCGTGCGCGTGTGCAGGTACCGCCCCTCGCAGTGGGGAGCGGTAGTGTAGTGGTTAGCGCTACGCTGCGCTATGAACCTGGCGACCCGGGTTCGATTCCCGCTCACGGCCAACACCAGTGACGATTATCTGAACCGGTCCCGGGCCTCCCCTAGGTCGACTCAGCCTCAAATGAGTACCTGGTGCGGTGTGTAAACATTGCCACTAGGGAGACGAAGGCGGTCGGGCGTGGTGCTGGCCACCCACCCCCTCGTGTACCGTTCCGGCCTTCATAGGTGCTCGCTAACAGCACTTGCCCCTACAGTCTGTTAAGGCTATACGGGGGGTCTTTGTCTTTGTATGCGTGTGTGTGTGTGCGTGTGTGCGTGTGTGTGTGTGTGTGCGTGTTTGTGTGTGCGTGCGTGTGTGTGTGTGTGTGCGTGCGTGTGTGTGTGCGTGTGTGTGCGTGTGTGTGCGTGTGTGTGTGTGTGTGTGCGTGCGTGTGTGTGTGCGTGTGTGTGCGTGTGTGCGTGTGTGTGTGTGTGTGCGTGCGTGTGTGTGTGCGTGTGTGTGCGTGTGTGTGCGTGTGTGTGTGTGTGCGTGTGTGTGTGTGTGCGCGCCTTCATAGGTGCTGCTCGCTAACGGCACTTGCCACAGCAGTCTGCTGAAGGCTACACAGTGCGGGACCTTTGTCTTTGTTGCGTGAGCAGTGCAGCGGTCGGCGCTACAGCTGCGCTGCAAACCCGGCGACCCGAGTTCGATTCCCGCTCACGGCCACCAACACCGGTCACGATTATATGAACCGCTCCTGGGCCTCCCCTAGGTCGACTCGGCCTCAAACGACTCCCCGGCGCGGTGTGTCACGTAAACATCGCCGCTGGGGAGGCAAAGGCCGCCGGGGCGTGCTGCTGCTGGCCACCCACCCCCTCGTGTGCTGCTTCTCACTAACAGCCACTTGCCCCAACAGTCTGCCAAGGCTACACAGGGCGGGACCTTTGCCTCTGTGCGCATGCACGTGCGCAGCAGCCAGCCTCACCGCTGGCCGAACATGAGCGTGGACTTGGACTCGGCCTCGTTGTAGGCCGAGGGCGAGCAGCAGATGACTATCGTTGTGCGGCAGTTCCCGCCCAGCGAGTCCTGCAGGATGCGCGTCATCTTGCTGTCCCGGTACGGCACGTGCGTCTTCTGCAGACAAAGACGACACAAAGACAACGGTCGTCATCCCCCCACCCCCCCGCCCCCGCCCATCGTGTCGCCTCAACAGACTGTTGGGGCAAGTGGCTCTTAGTGAGCGCCTATGAAGGCCGGCACGGCGTGTGAGGGAGGGGTGGGTGGCCAGCAACCACGCCCGACGATCTTAAAACACCCGGTCCTGACCCTGATCCTACCCTTAACTCTAAGCAAAACCCTCGCCATAACCTTAGCACCAACCCTAACTTTAGCAATATCACTCCTCCCTTACTCTAGCCGTGACCATGACCCCAGCTCTAACCCTTGACCCCAGCGATATCCCTAACCCTTGACCCCAGCTCTATCCCTAACCCTTGACCCCAGCTCTTTCCCTAACCCTCAACCCGAGCTCTATCCCTAACCCTCGACCCCAGCTCTATCCCTAACCCTTGACACCAGCTCTATCCCTAACCCTTGACCCCAGCTCTATCCCTAACCCTCAACCCGAGCTCTATCCCTAACCCCTGACCCATGACAGTGACCCCGTGCATGAGCCGAGCTCACCGTGCCCTCGGCGAGGGCCGAGATGACGTTGCCGAGCGAGGAGAGCGACTTGTTGATGTTCTTCGCCTCGTCCAGGACGGCTCCCTCCGCTCCCGTCTTGCTCACCTGGCGCGGACAACACACGGCGCTGAGCGCACAGAGGCAAAGGTCGCCCACGTAGCCTCAAACAGACCGCCGGGGCAAGTGCCGCCGTGAGCGAGCGGCGACCCCTGCAACCGGAGGCGATGCCGTTGCTGCTCCGCTCTACGAATGAGTCGGGAGGCTGCTGCTGCTCGCCACCCCGGTAGCGTGCCACCAAGAGATGGGGCCTCCACCCATCAGCCCCACACAAAAGAGAAAGCCACAAAGCTCATGCCCGGGTGTGCTATGTCGTTAAAATATTTTACGCTCCCTCCACTCCCCGCAGTTGTGGAGAGAGTGGAGGCGTTCCCGTGCTCCATTTTCCTTACATCAGCTGCTTACCGCTGTGTCTAAGCTACCTGGTCTATCGCTCCACGCGAAGCTCCGGGTCTTCTCGGCCACGGTCATTGCTCTCCCCGTCTCTACGCTTGCGAAACGTGGACCCTGTTAAAGGAACATCTGCGCCGATTTGACACATTCAGCTTGGGCCTGCTGCCTACGGTCCATCCTGAGTTTAACCAGACTGGATTGTGTTTGGAACTCAAAGATCCTTGAAATATCTCCACTGTTACATTAGTGAGCTCCTCTGGCTGGGTCTTGCTGCCCGCATGCCCAGCCACCGCACGCCCAAGCATCTTCTGTTTGGCTGGATAGAGGGGGCTAAACGGGCACGAGACGGGCTGGAGAAGAGATGGAGTGATGTGGTACTGGAGGATGTGGAGCTGAGTGTACTTGCTAATGACTGGTACCAGCGGAGTTAAGATCGGTCTCTATGGAGGATGCTCGTGAAGGACGCTGCTACTGGCAAGTTGGAGGCAGTCAGGGCAAAGGAGCGACGCTCACAACAATGAGCGGAGTGCCGGACGGATAAAGCGAGTTGGCACAGTGAGGAGCACAGTTCATGCATCAGCCAGTCATCTTAGTTAGTCAACGCATAGCACCTGGGTCTGTTCCATGACCTCCTCCTCCTCTTCCTGCACCTAGCCTGGCACTTAGCTGTGCACGACGACGACGCCATCTCACCTTCTCGCTGCCAGCCAGGTCGACGAGGTAGAGCTTGCCGCTGAGCTTCTGCTCTGTCTCGACGTTCTCCTGCTTGACGTTGATGAGGAAGATGCTGTGGCTGCGTGAGCTGTGCTCGTTCATGTCTGCCGCCACGCACAAAGACAAGAGGCCACCCACGGATCCCTCAACAGCCTTGAGAAAGGCCACACTGGGGACGTGTGTGTGTGCGCGTGCGTGTGCGTGTACGTGCGTGTGTGTGTGCACGTGTGTGTGTGTGCACGTGCGTGTGTGTGTACGTGCGTGTGTGTGCACGTGCGTGTGTGTGTACGTGCGTGTGTGTGTACGTGTGCGTGCACGTGTGTGTGTGTGTACGTGCGTGTGTGTGTGCGTGCAGGTGGGGAGCGATAGTGTAGCGGTTAGCACGCTGCGCTGTGAACCTGGCGACCCGGGTTCGATTCCCGCTCACGGCCAACACCAGTGACGATTATCTGAACCGGTCCCGGGCTTCCCCTAGGTCGACTCAGCCTCAAATGAGTACCTGGTGCGGTGCGTAAACATCGCCACTGGGGAGACAAAGGCGGTCGGGCGTGGTGCTGGCCACCCACCCCCTCGAGTACCGTTTCGGCCTTCATAGGTGCTCGCTAACAGCACTTGCCCCTACAGTCTGTTAAGGCTATATGGGGGATCTTTATCTTTGTGTGTGCGTGCACGTGCGTGTGTGTGTACGTGCGCGTGCGTGCGTGTCGCGTACTCGTCACGGCGACGTGCCGGTTGGACTTCCCCTCGTCGATGACGTCCATCACCTCCTCGGGGCTCGACACAAAGCGCTCCGTGCAGCCCTAGACGTCGTCGCAGTGACACGTGACACAAAGACACGGTGACACAAAGACACGGTGACACAAAGACACAGTGACACAAATACAGTGACACAAAGACACGGTGACACAAAGACACGGTGACACAAAGACACGGTGACACAAAGACACAGTGACACAAATACAGTGACACAAAGACACGGTGACGCAGTGACACAAAGACACGGTGACACAAAGACACGGTGACACAAAGATACGGTGACACAAAGACACGGTGACACAAAGACACGTGACACAAAGACACGGTGACACAAAGACACGGTGACACAAAGACACGGTGACACAAAGACACGTGACACAAAGACACGTGACACAAAGACACGGTGACACAAAGACACGGTGACACGGTGACACGGTGACACAAAGACACGTGACACAAAGACACGTGACACAAAGACACGGGACACAAAGACACGGGACACAAAGACACGGTGACACAAAGACACGTGACACAAAGACACGGTGACACAAAGACACGGTGACACGGTGACACGGTGACACAAAGACACGGTGACACAAAGACACGGTGACACAAAGACACGGTGACACAAAGACACGGTGACACAAAGACACGGTGACACAAAGACACGGTGACACAAAGACACGGTGACACAGTGACACAAAGACATGGTGACACAAAGACACGGTGACACAAAGATACAGTGACGCTGTGACACAAAAACACGGTGACACAAAGACACGGTGATACGGTGACACAAATACACAGTGACACAAAGACACGGTGATACGGTGACACAAAGACACGGTGACACAAAGACACGGTGACACAAAGACACGTGACACAAAGACACGGTGACACAAAGACACGGTGACACAAAGACACGGTGACACAAAGACACGGTGACACAAAGACACGGTGACACGGTGACACAAATACACGGTGACACAAATACACGGTGACACAAAGACACGGTGACACAAAGACACGGTGACACAAAGACACAGTGACACAAAGACACGGTGACACAAAGACACAGTGACACGGTGACACAAAGACACGGTGACACAAAGACACGGTGACACAAAGACACAGTGACACAAAGACACGGTGACACAGTGACACAAAGACACGGTGACACAAAGACACGGTGACACAAAGACACGGTGACACAAAGACACGGTGATACAAAGACACGGTGATACGGTGACACAAAGACATGGTGACACAAAGATACGGTGACACAAAGACACAGTGATACGGTGACACAAATACACAGTGACACAAAGACACGGTGATACGGTGACACAAATACACAGTGACACAAAGACATGGTGATACGGTGACACAAATACACAGTGACACAAAGACACGGTGATACGGTGACACGGTGACACAAAGACACGGTGATACGGTGACACAGCAACACAGTGGCACGGTGACACAAAGACACATCGAAGGGGTGACACGAGATGCACAAACACACCACGTGAACACAGCGTCACATCGCCACGGCGACATGTCAACACACCACGTGAACACAGCGTCACATCGCCATGGCGACGCATCAACTCACCACGTGAACACAGCGTCACATCGTCACGGCCACACGTCAACACACCACGTGAACACAGCGTCACATCGCCACGGCCACACGTCAACACACCACGTGAACACAGCGTCACATCGTCACGGCGACGCGTCAACACACCACGTGAACACAGCGTCACATCGCCACGGCGACGCGTCAACACACCGCGTGAGCACAGCGTCACATCGTCACGGCGACACGTCAACACACCACGTGAACACAGCGACACATCGTCACGGCGACGCGTCAACACACCACGTGAACACAGCGTCACATCGCCACGGCGACGCGTCAACACGCCACGTGAACACAGCGACACATCGCCACGGCGACGCGTCAACACACCACGTGAACACAGCGTCACATCGCCGCGTCGCACCAAGCGCTACACCCGACACGAGCGCTGTGAGAGAGAAACTCTCTCTGCGGGATTGCGATGGGCTGCAACGTCACAACGCTCGCGGACCCCGCGGCACAGCAGCACAGTGACACAACGCTGCTCCGTACCTTGACGTACGGCACGCGGTTCTTGTCCTCGTGAACGGACAGGTTCGTCTTGGAAACTGAAAAACACACACGCGGCGCACGTTCACACTCGCACGTTTACACACGTGTTCACACTCACGTTTAGACACACCACACACGCACAATCACGCACTTTTACACGTTCACACACTTAGACGTTCACACACACGCACGTTCACACACTTGCATGTTCACACGCACGTTCACACTCGCACGTTTACACACGTGTTCACACTCACGTTTACACACCACACACGCACATTCACGCACTTTTACACGTTCACACACGCGCACGTTCACACACTTAAGACGTTCACACACGCACGTCCACACGCAACACACGTTCACGCACACACCTGTTCACACGCATACAGCACATGAACACACTCGCCGCGACTTCTTTACCACTCCTCTCCAGCCTCCACACAACCCTCACCTCCCCCCCCCCCCCATTGCTAATGAACGAGACGTTACATGTGGCAGCGATCTGGAGCACCCGGAGGAAAACCCTTGCGGGCGATGGGGAACAGACGGAGAGATCATTTGAACACGTGCTCGTAGACTTTCGCGACCAATATCATCCATGATAGAGGTTATTTTGTGTTAGATCGCGTAAATGTATAAATGTGTCGTCGTTAAACCCCTGCACCACCCGACACAGCCGACTAGTAAGGTTTGTCACGTAAGCAGAACGTGGCCAATTCGTCACTAGTACAGCACTAGTGTATAGTGTAGTGTATAGTGTAGTGTATAGTGTAGTGTATAGTGTAGTGTATAGTGTAGTATAGTAGTGTAGTGTATAGTGTAGTGTATAGTGTAGTGTATAGTAGTGTAGTGTATAGTGTAGTGTATAGTGTAGTGTATAGTAGTGTAGTGTATAGTGTAGTGTATAGTGTAGTGTATAGGGTAGTGTATAGTTTAGTGTATAGTCTAGTATATAGTGTATAGTGTAGTGTATAGTGTAGTGTATAGTCTAGTATATAGTGTAGTATATAGTGTAGTGTATAGTGTAGTATACTAGTACAGCACTAACCAGTTGTGTGTTGGAGAGCAAATCCACATTTACGATCTGAGTACGGCGTTTTGCCAGTAATTATAGTAATGATGATGCGAGTTGTAATTACTGGCGAAACGTCGTACTTTAGATTGTAAATGTTGTGGATCTGCTCTCCAACACAACCGGTGGTGCTGTGCTAGTGGCGAATTGGCCACGTGACGAACCTTACTGATTGGCTGTGTCGGGTAGTGGCGGGTTGAATAACACGTTTATATATTTACTAGCTGCACTACCCGGCTTCGCCCGGGACTTGGGATTCACCACGGCCGGCCGCCTTTGTCTCCCCAGTGGCGGTGTTCACACACCACACCAGTTGCTCGTTTGAGGCTGAGTCGACCTAGGGGAGGCCCAGGACCGGTTGAAATAATCGTCACCGGTGGTGGCCGTGAGCGGGAATCGAACTCGGCTCGCCAGATTCGTCGCGCGGCGTAGCGCTAACCGCTACACCACAATGCGTTACGCTTCCACGTGCGTGGGTCACGTGACAGATTTGACGTCACAGCTCACTTTTCGCCCAAAAAATAAATACATTATTGAGCTCGCCCCCCCCCACCCCCCAAAAAAAAAAGTGTATTTGTTTTTATTTTTGCATGGTGTACAAGTCTGGAAAGTACCCACATGGCAAATTTACAGTTTGTTGCATGTCGGAAAGTACGCTAAACATTTTGAACAGATACACATAATCACAACTTTGCCCTCTATACATATGGAGATACGTGATCTAACCCAAAAGCAATCTCGATAATGACAGATGGAGATTCGCCCACACTTTGCTCTACTGCCTTCTCCTGGCGAGGCAGGGCTATAGTGCCTCCTCTTCGACGCCCACGGGGAGTGAGTTTCACACGCCATCTGCGCGGTAATCCACCAAACCCTCGCTGCTGCTGCTGCTGCCTCTATAGCGCTGGGTTACAGGCAGCCGCGTGCAGCAGCGTAGCCACCACCGCAATCACCATCAGCAGCAGTATGAGCGGCACAACCATCAGCAGAAGCACCACCACAATCATCAGCACGAAGACCACCACAATCACCATCAGCAGCAGTATGAGCGGCACAATCATCAGCAGAAGCACCACCACAATCATCAGCACGACGACCACCACAATCACCATCAGCAGCAGTATGAGCGGCACAATCATCAGCAGAAGCACCACCACAATCATCAGCACGACGACCACCACAATCACTATCAGCAGCAGTATGAGCAGCACAACCATCAGCAGAAGCTCCACCACAATCATCAGCACAACGACGACCACCGGCACCACCGCGTGATGTTCTCACCGTCAAGGAGATCGCGAATCTTGTCCATGTAGATCTCAAAGTAGGAGACCTATACGGGGCAAGAGGTCACGTGACAGTGATGCGCTCGCCCACTCGCTCACACGGAGACGCGACCCAGTGACGCGCGGGTAGTCTCATGCCTGTCAACCCCTTATCAGTGCCCCCCCTCATCACAGAACAATTCAGACCCTATTGGTCACCCCGTGCCCCTTATAAATCTCAACGCTCATCCTACAAAGTCCCATCATCACAAGGGAGAAACACAAACACTTATTTTTGTTGCCAGTGTTGAAACGGCTGTACGCCGTGTGGACCTGAAAACTCGATTTGCCTGTACGAGAATACGGGGTGAACCGTGATGGGTTGACAGCTGTGTAGTCTGCGTGCATGTCGTGTCTGTGTTGTTTGTGAGGAGTGGCGGTGCAGCGGTTAGCGTGCTTTGCGCTACGAACACGGCGACCCGAGTTCGATTCCCGCTCACGGCGACCGCCACCACCGGTGAAGATTCTCTGAACCGGTCCTGGGCTTCCCCTAGGTCGACTCAGCCTCGAATGAGTAGCTGGTGCCGTGTGTAAGTATCGCCACTGGGGAGACAAAGGCGGCCGGGCGTGCGTGGTTGCTGGCCAACCACCCCCTCGTGTGCCGTGCCGACATTCACAGGTGCTGCTCGCTAACAGCACTTGCCCCAGCAGTTGGTTAAGGTTACACGGGGGATCTTTATCTTTGTACCTTGATGTGGAACTCGAGATTCTCATCCATTGAATAGATGTAGTTGAAGACGTCCTGGACGATGCGGGGGATGATGCCCATCAGGTGCCCATCGTGCAGCTTGCCCTGCACACCATCATCATCAGCATCGTCATCATCGGCACCATCATCATCAGAACAATCATCATCAGCATCGTCATCATCGGCACCATAATCATCGGCGCCACCATCATCAGCACCATCATTATCAGCGCCATCATAATCAGTGCCATCATCATCAGCGCCATCATAATCAGCGCCATCATCAGTGCCATCATCATCAGTGCCATCATCATCAGTGCCATTATAATCAGTGCCATCATCATCAGCCCCATCAATATCAGCGCCATCATCATCAGAACAATCATCATCAGCATCGTCATCATCGGCACCATAATCATCGGCGCCACCATCATCAGCACCATCATTATCAGCGCCATCATAATCAGTGCCATCATCATCAGCGCCATCATAATCAGCGCCATCATCAGTGCCATCATCATCAGCGCCATCATCATCAGCGCCATCATAATCAGTGCCATCATCATCAGCGCCATCATAATCAGCGCCATCATCATCAGTGCCATCATCATCAGCGCCATCATCATCAGTGCCATTATAATCAGTGCCATCATCATCAGCCCCATCAATATCAGTGCCATCATAATCAGTGCCATCATCATCAGCGCCATCATCATCAGTGCCATTATAATCAGTGCCATCATCATCAGCCCCATCAAAATCAGCGCCATTATAATCAGTGCCATCATCATCAGCCCCATCAATATCAGCGCCATCATAATCAGTGCCATTATAATCAGTGCCATCATCATCAGCCCCATCAAAATCAGCGCCATTATAATCAGTGCCATCATCATCAGCCCCATCAATATCAGCGCCATCATAATCAGTGCCATCATTATCAGCGCCATCATCATCAGTGCCATTATAATCAGTGCCATCATCATTAGCCCCATCTTCATCAGCGGCATCATCATCAGCGTCATCATCAGCGTCATCAGCGCCATCGTGATCAATACTATCATCGCTAGTGCCATCGTCATCATCAGTGCCATCATCATCAGCGACGTCATCAGCGCCATCATCATCAGCGCTATCATCATCAGCGCAGTATTCAAAGTTGACACATTATTATTCAATGAGTCAGTGATTGCACGTTCAAAATTATAAGAAAGAAAAAACTGGATTCACAGTTTATTAATCTACACGTTACACTTAGCGAGTATATTTATAAATGCGCAACTCTTATAACCTAGGTTATCACGGGTGTGCAAGATTCATACATTGTAAGCTCGATTTAACAGTTCGATTTAACTTACTCACTCTACACAACAACAAAAATACAAAGATCCTCCATGTAGCCTTAACAGACTGTTGGGGCAAGTGCTGTTAGCAAGCACCTACGAAGGCCGGCACGGCACACGAGGGGGTGGGTGGCCAGCACTACGCCCGGCCGCCTTTGTCTCCCCAATGGCGATGCTTACTACACACCGCACCAGGTACTCGTTTGAGGCCGAGTCGACCTAGGGGAGGCCCAGGACCGATTCAGATAATCGCCACTGGTGTTAGCCATGTGCGGGAATCGAACTCAATTCACCGGGTTCGTAGTGCAGCACGCTAACCACTACACTACCGCTCCCCAACGTACACACACACACGTACATACACACACACGTACATACACACACACACGTACATACACACACATGTACATACACACACACGTACATACACATACACATGTACATACACACATGTACATACACACACGTACATACACACACATACATATACACACACACGTACATACACACATATGTACATACACACACACGTGCATACACACACATGTACATACATACACACGTACATACACACACATGTACATACACACACGTACATACACACACACACGTACATACACACACACACGTACATACACACACATGTACATACACACACTACATACACACACATGTACATGCACACATGTACATACACACACACACGTACATACACATACATGTACATACACACACACATGTACATACACACACACGTACATACACACACACGTACATACACACACATGTACATACACTCACATGTACATACACACACATGTACATACACACACACACTACATACACACACATGTACATACACACACATGTACATACACACACATGTACATACACACACACGTACATACGAATCGGATTACACTTGCTACCGGATCACGAAGATGCGGGGGCTTACAGGAACCTTTCAGACGCTAATCCGATTGCAGTCAAGGGATTGCGACTCTCACCTCCATCGTGTGGGTCTTTCCCGACGAAGTCTGCCCATAAGCGAAGATTGTTCCATTGTAACCTTCCAGGACATCTGTACACAGACAAAGACAAAGATCCCCCAGTATAGCCTTAACAGACTGCAGGGGCAAGTGCTGTTGGCGAGCAGCACCTATGAAGGCCGGCACGGCGCACGTGGGGGTGGGTGGCCAACACCACGCCCGGCCGCCTTTGTCTCCCCAGTGGCGATGTTTACACATCGCACCAGGTACTCGTTTGAGGCTGAGCCGACAGCCAGAAAGCCGCACACATCACCAACTAAACACCGTCACGACATCACACACGAACCGCCATCACTATCGCCATCAGCCGAACCACCGCCGCCACCTCTTTTTAATTTTAAGACAATTTTGTTTTTTTCTCTCCGGGCTCTGATCCCCGGATTGCCGCTGTCGCCGTCATCGTCGTAATCGTCGTCAGAATCGTCGTCATCGTCATAATCGTCATCGTCGTCATCGTCGTCATCGTCATTATCGTCATTGTCGTCGTCGTCATCACAATTGTCGTCGTCATCATCATCGTCATCGTCATCGTCGTCGTCATCACAATTGTCGTCGTCATCATCATCGTCATCGTCGTCGTCATCGTCGTCGTCATCACAATTGTCGTCGTCATCGTCGTCGTCATTGTCGTCATCGTCATGGCATCACGACGACAAAGAAGCCGCGCGGACGCCTCCGCGTGAGCAGAGAACGGCCCGCAGAAGTGGACATCACAGAGCTAGCTCCGAGATCCCTTCGTCACGTGACGCTCTAGTCCACACACACACAGCACTGCCTCACCCGCTCTGCCGTATGAGAGGGGTGTTCATCACCAGCGATAGTTTAACTCCCAGAGAGCCATAAATTCGCAAATGAAGTGCAGAACCAAATTTGAATTGTGATGTTGGTTCGTGTGTGTTAGTGTGTGTTAGTCACAGGTGCTGGCTAAAGTGGCTCCTCGGGATAGAGTCATCTTGTTGGGTGACCTCAATGCCCGAGTGGGTCATGATGCTGGCACCTGGTCTGGAGTGATTGGAGGGCATGGGCCAGATCAGCTCAATAACAACGGTAGGAGGCTGCTAGATTTTTGTGCAGCCCATGGGCTTGTAATTACCAATACGCTGTTCCGGCATCGGAGCATCCACACAGCATCATGGATGCATGCCGGGTCCAAGCAAGAACATCTGCTGGACTACATAGTGACGGACCAGCGGATGCGAGCCCATGTCCTTGACACCAGGACCTATTGTGGAGCTGATCTGCCTTCTGACCATCGACTAGTCATCTGTAAGATGCGCCTGTCATTCTTCCACTTCGGTTGTGGGTGTACATCCAGGACCCCATTCCAACCTAAAGTGGCCTGGTCTCAATTAGCTGATGAGAGTTGCAAGCGAGAATTTCATCATCGCTTGCGGCTGGGGTTGGCATCGTCCCCCACTCCTCCTGATGTCGAGGGTAAATGGGCGAGGTTTAGGACTGTGACTAATGCAGCTGCAATGGCTGCTTTGGGTACACGGTCCAGACCTCCCCAGAGACCCTGGCTGACAGAGGAGGCCCACTGTCATCGGCTACAGATTCCCACGTCAAAGAATGAGGAGGCTTACCGCAGCCTTCGCTCGGAGGTTCGGAGAGCCGTGAGGCGCTGCAAGGATGGGTGGTGGTCGCGGGTTGCTGAGGAGATGGAGTCTGCCTCAGTGGCCCGCGATCACAAATCTCTATTTAACTCCATCAAAAAAGTAACCTGCAGTGCCACACCTATTACCATCATTAGGGGAAAAAATGGTGTTCCAATCTCCGACCCCCAGGAACAGGATTGCAGATTTGCTGAGCATTTCTGTGAGGTCCTGGGGGAGGGGAAACCCAGCCAGGAAAGCATCGTGGCACAAAGAGGGGATGACCCTGCTGAGGCTGCGATGCCTCAAATATCGGAAGAAGTCACCCCCTGTGAGTGGCTGTCTGAGGTGCCATCTGTTGGGGAAGTACTGAAGGCGATCCGGAGTCTGAGACCAGGAAAGGCACCGGGCAGAGATGATCTCCCAAGCGAAATGCTGAGGGAGGGTGGCGTTTGTGCACAGACTGCCCTATTTGACACCATAACAACAGTCTGGACCACTGGATGGGTTCCGCAGGATTGGAAGGATTCCCCTGTAGTCCCTATCTTTAAGAAGGGGGACCGTACAAACTGTAACAACTACAGGGGCATCTCACTCCTCAGTATGCCGGGAAAGGTCCTGGCAAGGATTATTCAACATCTTCTTGCCAGGCACGCTGAGGAGAGGCTTGCGGAGTCCCAATGCGGTTTCAGGAAAGGGCGGGTCTGCACAGATGCCACAGCAGAGGTGTAGGGAATTATTGACCTGGTCAAAGCCTATGATACCATCAGTAGGACTGGGCTCTGGGTTGTTCTTCGTGTTTTTGGAGTCCCTGACCCCCTGCTCAGAGCCATTCCCTCTGTACACCTTGGGGTGCGACAGGGATATCCTCTGGCTCCCACATTATTTATCATCTATTTTGACCACGTAGTTCGTGGAGCCTTCAATAGCTGTACCGGGGGAATCTCCATTTGGTCCAGATATAATGGGAGGCTGATTGATGCCCGGGTGTGGTCAAGGGATGGCTCCCAATTGCTCAACCATGTTATGTATGCCGATGATTTGGTAATAGCTGCTCATTCAGAGGAGAAGTTGGAGACGCTGCTGCTGAAACTGGAGCGTGCCACTAAGAGATGGGGCCTTACCATCAGCCCCACCAAAACTAAGCACCTGCCTTAATTTTGGACCCCATTAATGGAACATCTTCGCCAGTTAGAAACATTTAGGCTAGCCTGCCTACGATCCATCCTGGGGTTAACCAGGCTGGATTGTGTGAGGAGCTCACAAATCATTGAAATATCTGGGTAAGGTCCCATCGGTGAGCTCCTCCGGCAGGCAAGGCTGCGTTGGCTGGGTCATGTAGCCGACATGCCCAGCCACCGCATGCCTAAACAGCTTTTGTTCGGCCAGATCGAGGGGGCTAAACTGACACGGCACGGGCTAGAGAAGAGATGGAGTGATGTGGTACAGGAGGACGTGGAGCTGAGTGAACTTGCCGATGACTGGTACCAGCGGTGTCAAGATCGGCCTCTGTGGAGGAGGCTCGTGAAGGATGCTACTGGGCAGTTGGAGGCAGGCGCCCTCCAACAACAACGGAGGGCGGAGGAGCGAGCTCACAACAACGAGTGGAGCGCCGGGTGGCTAAAGCACAGCAGGTTGGCACAGTAGGGGGCACAGGTGGTGCATCAGCCAGTCATCTCAGTCAGTCGACCCGTGGCACCTGGGTCTGCCCCGTGACCTCTTGCCAGTGGGCGTTCGACACTTCACGTGGCCTCAAGGTGCACATGGCCTGGCACAAGCGTCGTGGTGACGTCACCGCCACTTAGTGGCGAATGGCGGTTGTTGTTGTTGTTGTGTGTGTTAGTGTGTTTTAGTGTGGGTTAGTGTGTGTCAGTGTGTTAGTGTGTGTTAGTGTGTTTTAGTGTGTTTTACTGTGTTAGTGTGTGATAGTGTGTGTGCAGTCATTAGTGAGTGGGCGAAAACAATCAACTCACTACACTTGAGAACCTGGTTCTATGGGACTCTGTGTGAGTCTATGGGTCTCTGTTTGAGTCTGTGGGTCGTTGTGTGAGTCTATGGGTCTCTGTGTGAGTCTATGTGTCTCTGTGTGAGTCTATGGGTCTCTGTGTGAGTCTATGGTACTCTGTGTGAGTCTATGGGTCTCTGTGTGAGTCTGTGGGTCGCTGTGTGAGTATATGTGTCTCTGTATGAGTCTATGGGTCTCTGTGTGAGCCTATGGGCCTGTGTGAGTCTATGGGTATCTGTGTGAGTCTATGGGTCTGTGTGTGAGTCTATGTGTCTCTGTGTGTGTCTATGTGTCTCTGTGTGAGTCTATGGGTCTCTGTGTGAGTCTTTGGGCCTCTGTGTGAGTCTATGTGTCTCTGTGTGAGTCTATGGGCCTCTTTGTGAGTTAAGGTGTCCCTGTGTGAGTCTATGGTTTTCTGTGTGTGTCTATGGGTCTCTGTGTGAGTCTATGGGTCTGTGTGTGAGTCTATGTGTCTCTGTGTGTGTCTATATGTCTCTGTGTGAGTCTATGGGTCTCTGTGTGAGTCTATGGGCCTCTGTGTGAGTATATGTGTCTCTGTGTGAGTCTATGGGCCTCTGTGTGAGTAAATGTCTCTGTGTGAGTCTATGGGCCTCTTTGTGAGTCAAGGTGTCTCTGTGTTAGTCTATGTGTCTCTGTGTGTTTCTGTGTGTCTCTGTGTGAGTCTATGGGTCTATGTGTGAGTCTATGGGCCTCCTTGTGAGTCTAGGTGTCTCTGTGTGAGTCTATGGGTCTCTGTGTGAGTCTGTGTGTCTCTGTGTGTGTCTATGTGTCTCTGTATGTGTCTGTGTGTCTCTGTGTGTGTCTGTGTGTCTCTGTGAGTGTTTGTGTGTCTCTGTGTGAGTCTATGGTTCTCTGTGTGTGTCTATGGGTCTCTGTGTGAGTCTATGGGTCTGTGTGTGAGTCTATGTGTCTCTGTGTGTGTCTATATGTCTCTGTGTGAGTCTATGGGTCTCTGTGTGAGTCTATGGGCCTCTGTGTGAGTATATGTGTCTCTGTGTGAGTCTATGGGCCTCTCTGTGAGTCAAGGTGTCTCTGTGTGAGTCTATGGGTCTCTGTGTGAGTCTATGGGCCTCTGTGTGAGTATATGTGTCTCTGTGTGAGTCTATGGGCCTCTTTGTGAGTCAAGGTGTCTCTATGTGAGTCTATGGGTCTGTGTGTGAGTCTATGTGTCTCTGTGTGTGTCTATATGTCTCTGTGTGAGTCTATGGGTCTCTGTGTGAGTCTATGGGCCTCTGTGTGAGCATATGTGTATCTGTGTGAGTCTATGGGCCTCTTTGTGAGTCAAGGTGTCTCTGTGTGAGTCTATGTGTCTCTGTGTGTTTCTGTGTGTCTCTGTGTGAGTTTATGGTTCTATGTGTGAGTCTATGGGCCTCTTTGTGAGTCTAGGTGTCTCTGTGTGAGTCTATGGGTCTCT